AGGGTTTAGGGCCTACCCATAGGCCCCATAGTAGTTCCTTTTTGGTGGCTTGTACTTATGATCCTATAGTTCCGGGTTGAGGGTTTAGGGCCTATAGGGTTCCATAGTTTGGGGTTTAGGGTTCAGGGTTCTGTCCAGGGCTCTATAGTTTAGGGCTCTCTAGTTTAGGGTTTAGGGCCTACCCACAGGCCCCATAGTAGTTCCCTTTTGGGAGAACCTAATAGGATTCTAAATACAAGCTGCAAAAAGGAACTACTATGGGGCCTATGGGTAAGGATTAAGACTTCTGGGTTTATAGGGTATAGGGTATATGAGGTGTGCGGTTTAGGCTTTGTGTGGGCGTGAGTGAGTGAAAAGTTGCAGCCCATCGATCCGGTCCTTCGCACCTGAGGATGTGAACCTCATGGCGGCAGCTGTGGCAGAGGTGGGAGTCACTTGAAGTCGGTGCTGCAATGGTTGCCTTGATGACTGTGTTGGCGTTGGTGAGAGTCAACGACTGAGCGCATGCTGACCATGATGGTTCAGTCGCAAGTGGTCCGATAGTGATCATGATAGTGCCGGTGCTGGTGCTCACGGCGTCGGCACCGACCATGGTGGTGTTGCCGTCGGTGGTGGTGGTGGTGGTGGTGGTGGTGGTGGTGGTGGTGGTGCTGCTGCTGGTGGCAATGACGATGATGAAGAGGTTCATGATGGTGTTCACAGCAAGTTATATTGGGCTGCTAGGCTCTTCTAGTCACTAGTCAGCAGAAGGAAAGTGGTAAGAGCGGTTGTTCGCATCTTCGCGCAGGGCGAAAATGCTGGGCTCGAGGAGGAAGAGTTGGCCGAGATCAGGTGCCTCCGAAGTCTCAAGCCCGAAGCCGTAAGCCCGAAACGGTTCAAGACTACTGCTTGTAGCACTGTTGCCACTCGGCTTAAATGCTGCCAGGAGTTTAGTGCGCAGTGGAGCTTGTGGTTCGTTGCTGCCGAGAACTCCAGGGATGCCAGTTGCGATTCTTCCTTGAATTCGGAGTTGAACATTTCACGTTGGAGCTTGGCTTGCCTCTCGGAGCCACTTGCTACATATGTTTGAGTGTCTAGGAGTCTTGCAGAGTCTTGGTTCTTCTACATGGAGGGTCCTTTCGTAGTGTGCTTAGTCTCCAACTCAACCAAGCAAAAGAGTCTAGGTCCCAGGTTCATCAGTTCTGATGAATCGCAGATGGGTGGGGAAGGCATGTTTGAGGTTTCCATCCAAGCAGAGCTTACAAACCCTAAACCGATGAAGACAGGGCTTGCAGAATGCACTATTGAATTGCTCAGGTTCGGGGTTGAGGATGTGGGTGTAGGGGTTTGGGGTTTAGGGTTTAGGGCCTAGAGAGCCTATAGAGTATCACCCTGCAAAGATCCTGCCACAGCAGCTGCGGCAGCGATACTCCCTAGTGGCCTGGTGCCCTACTGGCAGCCTACACCCTAAACTTAAAACCCTAAACCTTAAACCCTAAGCTTAAACCCTAAACCCCACTGTCAAACTGCTGTTAGCAGCTGACACCGGCAGCCGCTACCCACTAGGCGAACACGCCTTTTCCGAAACAACTGAGTCACTTGTGCCTGGCATCGGGCAGCGCGCCGCTTCCAGGAACCTATCGCACTCACAGATTTACACTGATTCAAAAATCTTCCCTCCTTTTCGGAGGTTCAAAGTCCCGGGTGAAAAGGGCAGTTGTATGCCCTCCTCCCACATGGCCCACCACTCATCGCCTTTCTTAGGCTTCGTGAGTATATCTGCCATCTGGATAGCAGTGGGAATCCATCTCATGGGGAGGGCGGTCTGCTTCTTGGCCTCGCCCGGTACTTCGGCATGTAGGTCTTGGCGGAGGGCTGCCAGGTCGATAGCGAGGCGTCGGTCTGAGGGCAACCTGGGTTGTCCGGCGCGGCGTAGATAGTCGTGGAGCGATTTACAGTCCGTGAGGGCGAGGATGGGGCAGAAGGTGATCGCCTCCTCGTGCTTCGTGAGTTTCCCGGTCACGAGCGTGGCCAGCAAGGAGCGGAGGTACTGTGCTGCTTCCAGTGCTTCTATGGCGGACATAGTTTCCGCTCCGAAGGTGCTCCGGCATACTCTTTTGCAAGCTTGGCTCCTCCACTCCAGGATGCTCATGGGCACCCGTAGACCTTCGGCAACTCCACGATCACATAGGCAGACCAGGTGTCCGAGCTGTGAGGCGAGCTTTGACCTCGCCCTCTTAGGTTGTCGCGGTCTCTCTTCCGTGTAGAGGCCGCCCCCGATCATGCCATTGCGCTTCTCCTCCTCGGTCAGCTGGAAGTCTGGCTCCGCGTCCTCGTGCTCGGCGTTGGCCCAACCGGCATCGTGGTACACCACGACGACGGCCCTCTCGAGGTTGATGGGGTGCAAGGTCAGGCCCTTGTCGCGGTGGTTCATCGCCCGGGTCGCCGTGGCATTGGTGAAGCGGATGTCGTCGGCCGTAGGAGATTGTTGCAGTTGTTGTGACAGTGCCACTGAGCACTGCAAATCCGGCCGCGATTGGCTTGATAGCCACGACAAAGCTCCTATTAAGGACTTGTTGTCTATCCTTTGTTCCTCGCTCGCTGGCTGGTTGCCGTCCTGGTCCTTGGGAACTTCGATGGAGAAGAGTCGGCCCTCGACGAAGGCGGACTGGTTGACCTTCACAACGTCGTCCTTCTTGATGACGCGGGAGCCGATATAGTCGAATTCTTCTTCTTCCCAGCTGTCCACCGGGAAGAGCTCGCTGATCCGCTCCTGCAAGGCCAGCCGGTACTTCTCGTGCGCGACCACCAGGAGGTCGTCCACATGGATTCCAACGTAGGCTTTGGGGCGGTCGGAGTCCTCGCTCTGGAGTAGGAACACGCAGGGATCGAGAGGGCAGGGACGTAGGCGGTGGGCCTTGCCCTCAATCATGAAGGTCTCCTCGGTAAGGACCTGGTACAGACGGTCGTACCACATCCGAGGTGACTCCGCTAGGCCGAAGATCCCCTTGCGGATGCGTAACAGCTGGGCCGGATCGAGGCCCTCCACTCCGCCCCGCGGTTGCTCCATGTACAACTCCCTGTCCAAGTCAAGCCCGTTGAGAAAAGCGGCCTGGACGTCGCCCGTGGCCATCTGCATGCGGAGGGATGCTGCTAGTTGAAACAGCATCACCAGGGAAGACCGATTGATCGTCGGACTGTCGGTGGTCAGTCCTCCAAAGGATCCACCCCCCAAATCGGGGTCAAGATGTCCTCCCACAACCAATCTCGCTTTCGCCCGCCGCGGCGTGCCGGGGCAGGCTTTGCGTTTCCCCATGGCTTTGTCGCGGTATAGGCGTACCTCGACGAGAGTATGCGCTCGCGAGGTACGCTTGCTCGTATTTTCTCGCTGGCGGCCACATCCAGTACTTCCAAGGCATTGTGCTGGATGTGTTCGGCCCATTGCTTTCTCTCCGCCTCAATGAACAAGGGGCGGACTTCATCCCGGATTTGGCTCCAGGGGATCTCCTTCTCGAGCTGTTTGGCGCGGGAGCGCTCCGTCTTGGCCTTCTTCAGCATGTTCACCTCGTTTGGAGGCGCTGCTGCGCCGCTGGGCTCGGGAGGGCCCTTGTGTCGCTTCCTTCGTAGGCCTGGCATAGGGAGCCCTTCGAGGCTCCTCCTGTTCCCGCGACGGTGCTCCTCGTCTTCGTCCATGTCGTATCCCACCTCCTCGGGCTCGCTGGGGACGATATCGGCCCAATCGTCATCATCGAGGTCCATGTCCGGTAGGGCCTCCTCATCCGCGTCCTCGCGTAGGTCGTAGATCTCCTCGTCCTCGGGGTCGGCGCCGAGAAGCTTCTCCAGGTCTTCCCTTGCCACGCGTAAGCTGAAGGCGTGTCCAAGTTCCTCGGGGGTTGCCAGCCGTACATGTTCCTCAGCACATAGTACGCATCGTCCTCCTTTCGCGATCCACAGGTTCGTCCCTTCCTCGCCGATGACGGTGCCCGGTCCCATCCAAACGCCTCGCTTGGCGTTCTTTGTTCGGCGAAAGTAGTACACCTGTTCGCCCATAGCGGGGCGTCTGGCTTGGACCCGTGCTCGCCCGGCCAGGGCACGCCTCACTCTCTCGTCGGTTTGGACGTGATGGTAAGCGGCCCTCGCACTGGTCCTCAAGGCCACCTCCCTCGCATGCTTGTCGTCGATGATGGCCTCGTCTCCAATGTCTCGGGCGTGGGGTCCTTCCAGTAGGTCTTCCGGCAGTCGTGGGGTGGCCCCGAAAACGTGTTGTTGAGGACTGTAGCCGTTTGCGCGGGTGAGGTTGTTCTTGGCACTGGACACCGCAGAGGCGGCCAGGTGGATGTCGCCCTTCGTCACCGACATCTCCTCATTGATCCTAGCGAAGACGGCCTTCCAGATCCCACCTTGGCGTTCGGTGAAGCCGGCCTGCCAGTGGGCCTGACCGGCCGCGGACTTGATCCTTGTCCCCGTCCAATCCCCAATGCGAGCCAGGGCCTTCTGGAGTCCGTTCTCCAAGTCCACAGTGACCACGCACGGTGCCCCAAAGACATTCGCCCAGTTTTCGCAGAAGGCCTTCTCGAGGTGGGTGGTGTCCTTGCGGGCGACGGGGATAACCACGTGATAGGCCGAGGAATAGTCCACTATCGAAAACATCTCGTGGCGATTACCCTCGGTATCGTGAACGTAGAAGAGGTCTGCGCCGACCACTTCGTTGAACTGTAGACAGCTTCCTATCTTCGCCGGTTTGGCAATGGCAGTGGCCCTAGTCCTTGCACACGTTTGGCACTCTAGAGTGCGGGCTGCCTTAAGGACTTCTCGGCTCGCGCCTGCCAGTCGTAGATGCCGGACAAAGTCCGACGAGCTGGGGTGGCCCAAGTTCTGATGGAGTCGTCGTAGGCTGGCAGCGATGTGTCTGGGCACGCTGGCTGGGAACCGTATGCTCCGTGCGCCGTCCTTGTCCGGTGCCGCGGCTCTCGAAGGTCCTTGTCCGTCCTCGGCCACGTAGTTTGTGTGGATCTCGTTGTCGGAGTGGCCATGAGGGTCGATCCGGATGTACTCGTGGCCGTAGTGGTCGATGTCGTAGTCGACGGCGTAGCCAGCCTCCTCCCAGCCGGCCGTGGCTTCCGTCCACAATGCTTGTTCCCCTTGTTCTCGTTGAAGTACAACTCTCCGGCCCTCGTGTAGCTGTCGGCTGATTGCGCTCTCGGCGTCGGCCTTGATCTCGGGGTGCGTCCACGCCTGGGACACGTGAAGCCAAAGTTCCGCAGGTTCTCGACGAATCATAGCGGTCTCGATGGGGCCAAAACCACATGACTCCACCCGTTCGGCCCATTGAAGGTCCTCGTAAAAGAGGGGCTCGGCAACGTCGATGGTGTCCGCGCAGACCCCGGTGGCGTAGCAGGTAGCCTCAACACCCCCGATCTCGAGCATCGCTACCCGTGGCCTCGTCCTGGGCTCGACGTGTTCGCGCACACAAAGGTCCATAGCCGCGAGAGTTGTCGTCATCAAGCTGAAGACGGTGGCGATATTTCGCCAGAGCCCTCGTTGCGCTGTGCGCCGCGGCCTCGTAGAGGTAATAGACGGTGCGGCCTTGGCCAGGTTGTTGTTGCGAAAGTCCTTCATGTTGGCCGCCGTGGGGACGGGGAACCCGAGCTGGGTCAATAGCTTCCTCGATGTCTTGCTGGCGTAAGGGAGACTCCTGGCCACGTAGCCCACCACACTCCAGCGCTCGCCGCACCAGGGTTCACTGGCGTGCTTGCGCTTGGGGTCGAACTTCGTCACCTTGTTCTTGGTCTCGATAATGTGCCCCGGCACCGCTTCACCATTGGCATCCCGGCGGTAGTTGGTGCCGTTGCTCTGCGCCACCCAAAGACCGCCTCCACGGTGATCGCCACCAGTCCAGACCACGTTTTCGCTCCCGGGGAGGTTGTTCTTGTCGGTGTGGATGGTCGCTGGAGCGTTGTAGGTTATCGACAGGGACGTCCATGCCGCCGTAGGATCGCACCCGTTCCGAAGGAGAAACTGGTTGACGTACTTGGTGAGGTTGCTCCTCTCCCCGGTTTGTCGCGTGATGCCATGGAACTTGCCGAACGCGTAATAGCCAAGCACGCAGCGATGTCCTTCTCCCTCTCCGTGTACCCCGGGTCGCTTCTTGTTGTCCGGGAACTCGCAGGCGTTGAGAATGTCCTCCAGGTCCTTGTTGCTGAAACGTCTTTCGCGGAGGGCTCGGCATGCCATCTCCTCACCAGGGTCTAGTTTTGTGCCGGAGTAGACGGTGTGGTCCAGGTAGCTTTGCGACTCCTCCTTGGTGTAAAGGACTTCGTGACCAAGAGACGGTGTAGACGACCCACACGACTCAAAACCATCTCCAGCGCTGTTGCTGTTGGCTTCCCGGTCCTTTAGGGGGCACTTGTCAATCTCCTCCTGGATAGCCTCCTGGGTCGAGTGGTTGCCCTCTGCGGTGTCCTCGGGGTAGATGTCCTCGCGGATCTCCTCGTGGATGGTCCGAACCGAGTGGTCGCCCTCTGCGGTGTCCTCGGGGTAGATGTCCTTGCCGATCTCCTCGCGGATGGTTCGGGACGAGTGGTTGCCCTCTGCGGCGTCCTCGGGGTAGATGTCCTTGCCGATCTCCTCGTGGACGGCCTCGTGAATTCCCTTAGCGGTGGTGCTTCTCAACGGCGCGGTGGTATCCCTGCTGCGTCCTTCAAGCATGCGAGACGCTCCTCCAGGGCGCGAATCTCTTCCATCACGTGCGGTTCCGCATCCTTTTCCATTCTCCGCGTCCCGAGGTCGTCCTCCAGGGGCCTCCTCGTCGATCTCGCGCTCGACTTGGGTGCCGCGGCGGGGTGCTCGGACATCCTCTCCACCACGTCCCACGCCGAAGCTGAGGCCCCGGTCTCGCTGAACGGCGGCGGCGGGATCATCGCATTCTCCTCCACGTCCAAGTAGCCACGCTGCTTGCCTCCCGCCTTCGATGACCTCGGGGTTCCGAGGGTCTTCTGGCTTCGTCGCCACATGACAAACCGCTTGAGCTCCGGGTGCATGTTGTCGCCGTTGATCTTCTCCTCCTCGGATGCCCACTCCGCGTAGGACTGCGGGATGTTCACGTAGGACTCGCCGCGGAACCTCCCGATCGTCATCACGGTGTCGTCGGGGGCCGTGTGGTCGCGGATCTTCAGCATGAGGGAGCCCCGCGTTTCCTTCGCCCCCACCAGGATGCCCAACTTCTCCGCTTCCTCGACCAGCTCGTCGCGACTCATCTTGGAGATGCTCTTCGGGCCCTCCGGTTTCGAGCCCCGGTAGTGGTAGTGCTTGTCGTCCCCCGCCAGCACGTGGCGGAGTTCCGTCATGGTCCACTTCGTGCTCACGGCCAGGCTGCGGCGATGGCATTCGGCGAGGAGCTGAGTTTTGTTCATCTTCCATGTTGGGAGGCTCTCGCTGCTCATTCCGAGTGGCAGGGAGGCAAAGATTGCTAGGTTGGTCTCGATTGAAGACGCTGCGGCCAATCCAAAGGGTTGGATAGCTGCCTTGCTCCCCTTCGTACAGTGAGTCCCTCCACAGGTGGCAGACGGTACTTAGCGGTCGCTGACTGCTGCAGGCAATACCCCAACTCTCGCGAACACTCCCGAGGACTTGTTGTAGTAGATCACGTTGCAGGGTGTTTTGGGTCTTCCAATTATCGGGGTTGAAGTAGCTCTTGCGGGGAGTCACATGTACACGTACTAGCTTTTCGGGGGTTTCGATCCAGAAGTCGTTGGAGTACGGACAGTTATTCCACCACTGAAGGAAGGTCGCATGGCAAAGGTGATCTCCCACAAGCATAGATCTAGCGGCTTCATCTACCTTCTTCTCGTAGAAGATGCGATGGAAACCCGGCCTATCACCTCCCTCGACCTCGTCTCCTAGCCCATCCCCGGTAACAGCAATCATGTACACTTCAGCGGGCTCGGCAAGGATCACGGTGCCGTCTGCGCCCCAGGCCTTCGGAAGGGTGCTAGGGTCCGGGGGGCTCTTCCCCTTGTGGCAAACAGGTACAGCCGGATGCCCGGAAGGCGTTGTCAGCAGCTGGAGATCTTTGATCCCAAGCTTCCGGAAGTCGGCCGTGTTCTTCTCCAGGTCCAGTATCATGCCGAGCTTGGCCAGGGCGGGCTTCGAGAGCAACAGTGGGATGTCGCCGTGGATGACGGATGCTTTCACGGCCACCCATGACTTGCCCAGGTGGAACATGATGATCGTGGAGTACGTGGACTCATAGACGCGGCTGGCTCCAAAGCGGAAGGCCTCCCGCTCCGGTATCAGCTCTGCTGCCTTGCCCTGGTTCCTCACCATGTTCAGGTATGCCTGGAGCCACACCGTGCCCACCACGGACTTTGAACAGGCTGAGTCGGTGATCGCCAAAAGACCGGAGGTGTGTCCGGGGCTCAAGCTGTCGATCTCGTGGGCCACGTTCACGGTGTGGATCTCCGCCTTACGCTTCGGGCAGCATGCGTCGCGATGCCAATGGCCTTTCTGGTGACACACGGAGCAGTAGCTCCTTGCTTTCGCCGCCTTGATCCGCTCCTCCGCTGTCTTCTTGACGGCCTCGATGTCGACACCGCGAGCTTTCGTGGTATCCTTGTAGCGAGCCTTCGCCGTCATGTACGCGATGTAGAGTTGCTCCCCGTCTTCCCCTGCCACGTCCTCACTCGGCGGCTCGTCGTCGGAGTTCTCGTCCACGGGGTGCTCGGCGTCCTCGGTGTGGTGGACCGTCTGGGGTTTCCTTGGGCCATCCTGCTTGGCGTTCCGCTCCCAGGGCTTTCGCATGGAGCGGTCCAAGATGATGGCCGCCTGTTGAAGTTGAAGTAGCTGGTATTTATTGCCAACACTGGCAAGCAGGCTCACCTCCGTAGCCTCGTCCAGACTGGCCCTGTCCACGTACAGCCATGCCGTGGCCACATCAGGTAGCCGACATCCACATTCGACCACCCGTGCCAACAACCGGTTGAACTCGGCGGTGTAGTCGCGGAAGCTCTGGTTGTAGCGGCGCTTGAGTTTCCTGAACAAGTCCGAAAGTGAGCGCCCCACAGACGTCACCTCCACATCCAGGTAGTGCTGCTGCACCCAGCCCCTCAGGTACGCCACGCCGTCCGAGGCGCTGAGCCTTTCCATGTTGAGGGCCTCCGCATTGATCCACGCGGCCCCTTCCAAGTGTTGGTAGAGGACAAGCGCCCGTTGGCTAGGGTGCAGCTTCGTCATCCGCTCCCAGGCGTCGATTTGACGCAAGTAGCTCCGGGCACTCGTGCCCAGCTCGCCTCCTTCGCCTTCTCCGTTGAACGAGGGGATGATGAGTTTCTCCGAGGGGCCCTTCCCGCTACCGCCGCTCTCGACACCGGGAGCGGTCCTCCCGTCTGTAGAGGTAGTACTCGGTCGTGCCGAAGAGCTCGAGCCCGGTCGTGTCGTCGAGGAATCCGTCGGGGTCGTGGTAGAAGCACTGGCCGCCCCAGCCGCCGGTGTCCATCCGCCCCAACTGCCGTGGGACCATCGCCAGGGCCCTCTGTCCCAGTCGTTGGTGTAGTTGTCCCACCACCTGCCTATTGCGCCACTGCTGCCGGTGGCGCCGGTGGCACCGTTCGAGTTTGCCGAAGCATCTGAGGTGCGCCGTTCATCACGAGGGTGCTCTGCGGCGCCACCAAAATCCGGTCTCCAAGTGCCTCGCAGCCACTGCTGCCAAGCTTCATCCGACCAGCGTCGCCCTTGCGCGCCTGACACCCCATTGCCAGGCGAAGAGTTGTCACCCCAGCCACTGATGTAGTCAGTGGCCCCGTTGCTCTGGTCGTTGCTCGGTTCGGTGGCTGACTGTTCAGTCGTTGTCGTCGTGTCGGAGGAGTTCTGCGGCTCTGTCACGTCTGTCCTCCACTGCGCCCATGGGTCCTGGTCACTCCAGGGATCTTGCGGCCCCGCATCGTGAACATCACCGCCGGGGTCGGCCGACATGGCTTGCAACTCGAGGCTCCGCTACCAGTGTCAAACTGCTGTTAGCAGCTGACACCGGCAGCCGCTACCCACTAGGCGAACACGCCTTTTCCGAAACAACTGAGTCACTTGTGCCTGGCATCGGGCAGCGCGCCGCTTCCAGGAACCTATCGCACTCACAGATTTACACCCACACCCAAAACCCTAAACCTTTAACCCTAAACTTAAACCCTAAACCCACGCCCAACACCCCACATAGTACCTTCGTGGTCCATACTCAGCCCTCCCCCAGCGGCCCGAGCCTACAAGAATCGCATCTCGGAAGCCCTAAGCACTCCAAGAAGATCGAAACCCGAACGTCCGAGCCCTCTTTAAATTAGGGAGCCCCGAAGCCCTAAACCCGCAAGCCCGAGCCCCAAAGCACAAGGCAACAGAATACCAACTCCTTGTACAGCTAAGCCGGGGCCTAGCGGGTTTCCCGCCCTCAACCTGTCCAGACGAAAAGATAACAACCTCGTTTGTTCACAGGGCCGCTTTGGCGTTGGAGAAGGCCAAAGCCGACGCGAGCCGTTCGTCTCAGAGGGGTTTCGGCTTGGGTAGGTCTCTAAATTAGGATCCCCTTTTTAGGTCCCCAATATAGTACGGCACCCTGTATAAAAAGGACCCTAATTTGGAGAACTACCCGCTTCCAGAAGTGTGTGCTTTGATTCTTCTTTCTTCTTCGAAAGTTTGAAGATTTCACTCGGGTTTCGAAGTCCTGGGGTCTCGAGAGCCGTAGGGCTCCAGTGGACAATGATTTGTTCACGAAGGTCCGGGCTATAGGAAATGATGGCGAGAGGAGGGATGAACTTGTTCAGTGGAGGGTGAGTCCGGGCTTGATGCATGCTGCAAAGCTTGCAGTATTTCACCGTTACGGTGCAAGTACGACAGGTTTGGGATTTGAGGTGCATGGGCTAGGGTGTCAGATTTGGAAGTTTAGGGGAAGTCGGTGCAACGGTAGCAACTTTATAGCACCTCGTTGCGGTTCGTCATATCAAAGAGACTGACAATCGTAGCGTATACATTTGAATGAATGGCAGCGAAGCAGGCTGCATGAGTTCCCTGCAACAGGGACAACAGCGATGGAGAATCCAACTGCGGATGACCATGATCAAGCACAAGAACGAAGCCACCGGCACTGTCAAAGTTGCACCCTTGACTGGTAGCACTTCCTCCGCAGCTCAGCATTTCATCATCCAGGTCTTCATGTGCATCCTCTCCCTCATCACCCACCCACGTCACCACAACAGGCAGCACTTGAACTTTAATTGTGGTACCACCAGACCTGTAAAGCAGCCCCAGTGTCCTGAGGAGTGGCGCTTCAACGCGCCACGAAGTCACGACAGGCAGTGAAGTTTCTCCTGCATGTTCGGTGGGTTTCGGGGTTCAGGGGCTTGTGTCGAAACCCTAAACCCTAAACCCTAAACCCTAAACCCACAACTCTAAACTCCAACTCCGAGAAGGGTTGAGCATTCGGGGCCTTTCGAGGTGAGGACCAGAGGCCTGGCATCTGTTTCCCTCTCCATAACTTTCCCTAACCCTCCAGGTACCTACTATATAGGGCCTTAGGGGCTCTAGTACCAAATATAGTAGGTACCTGGGGGGATAGGGTTTCAGACCTGTACATGGGTAGTTCTAGAAATTAGGGTTCCGTTTAGGGTCCTTTTTAGAAGGGTGCCGTACTATATTGGGGACCTTGAAGGGGCCGTAATTTAGAGAGCTACCCACATGGAGAATGGAAGCTAATTCCAAGCCTGACATTATAGATGCCGAGACAGGAAAGCCAAGCAATTGAGGGAAGACGGCTTGTCAGACGTGATTGCTCCAAACATCACAAAGACTACCTAGCAGGCCGGATCGATCAGCAATTCGACAAAACAGTGGTGTGTTTGGCACGAACATTCTTCAGATCGGGGCAGCCAGACAACTTGGGCGACCAAAGCGGCGAACGAAAAGTGGATCCAAGCTTCTTATATGACATACCTAGACCCCAAAGAACCTACATTTTTAAGGACCCATATAAGGAAATCATGATAAGGAGCCCTAAAAAGGGAGGTTCTTAAGGGTCCAGGTATACCTGCAAAGCACAACCCAGAACCCGAACTACGCCATACACCCGGCATCTCCTGCGCCTTGAGGTGCAGCAGCTGCAGGCAGCTCTCCAGGCGCAATGCTTTTTGGTTTTAGGGTTTAGGGTTTTTGGTTTTAGGGTTTTGGGTTTTGGGT